CTGAAGAATCCTAATTATTTTTATTGCAGAAAAAGATGTCAATCATAAAGAATGGCAAAACAAAGCTACTGCAGGAAAGGACCTTGATGGATTGTCCCTAAAATTTCAAAAAAGTAATGGTATCTGCAGTGATTTTGAGAGTGATGGTGCTTACAATAGTGCCGATCAGCTCCATGTTCGTGACAGTAGGCAAATTGCAGATTCTACTTTTTCCAGTCATTCTCTCTCTGATGACATTGAGTTTACCCCTTCTTCTGACATAAGATCCAAACTTCCCGATGATTCAAATACTCTCTATGCTTTAGGCTCTTCTGAGCAGATGCAGAGTACCAACCCTCGGGCAAAAGAAGTAGAAAGGGATGTCCCTCCCGAGGACTTATGTTTGTATTACCTTGATCCTCAAGGGGTTATTCAGGGACCATACCTGGGGGTAGACATTATTTCATGGTTTGAACAAGGTTTTTTCGGGACAGACTTGCTTGTTCGTTTGGCGGATACTCCTGAAGGAACACCTTTCAACGAATTGGGGGAGTTCATGCCACATCTGAAAGTTTGGGATGGGCAAGGGAATATCATGAATCCAAGTTCTAATATAGAAGAATCCAGTGGCTTGATAGGGAACTTAGAGTCCAGTTTACCGTCTTCTGCTCCGGTTTCAGAAATTACTGATTCATTTATGGGGAATGACCTTCGGCGGCCATTGCCTGAACTAGACAGCCTTTCAGCTCAGCATATTCTACCCAGAACATCTGAGCCTGAAGCCCCATTACAACTGCCAAATTCCAGGGGTCAAAGCTTTAATGAATTTGTTGCAGATGATGAAGGTTTGGCTTTAATGATCAATTCGTTTTGGTTTGTTTATTGTGCTGACAGATGGTTTTTCTATTTATCTCATCCTATTTCATCTGCAATTTTCCAGATATTGTGTTTCCAGGAATACCTGGAACCACCGGCCATTCTTCTGCAAAATCTTCGGGGACCATTCATGATCCTATAGCTAATTCTATTAGCCACCTTCCTCCAACTGAGCTGACTGAATCTGGTATGCCTATTCAGAATGATAATAAGTTGCACCCCTTTGGCTTGCTATGGTCTGAACTAGAAGGTGGTCAAACAAAACATATCAAGTCAGCCAATACGCCTTCTGGTGCAGGGAGGGCGGTTCCATTTGGTGCAATTTCTGATCCAGCAGTTGTTGCCGAGACGTGGCCTGATGTTCACAGAAAAAATACAGTCTCTGATACAAACCTGTATCAAGACATGATAGCTCCTCGGCAATTGGCACACATGGAACAGGAACCCAGTCATTATGATTTAGCAGAGCAGCTCATGTCACAGCAAATTCAACAGCAACAGCTCCAGCAGCGAAATATGTTGTCTAGTTTTGGGCACTTGAATGATGCAGTATTAGAGCATTTGCCAAATCAGAATCTTATTCACCAACAGTTAGCCAACCATTCTTCTGCCGACATGGATCATCTATTGGCACTTCAGATGCAACAGCATCGACAGGCTCAGCTCCAGCAACATCATCAATTGCAGCAGCAGCAATTTCATCAACAGCAGAAGCTTTTACAGGAGCAACAGCAATCTCAAGTACAACAGGTGCTTCTTGAACAACTGCTGCGTGGTCAAATGCATGATCCTGCACTTAGGCAGCAACATGTTGATCCTGTCAGAGCAAACAATGTTCTTGATCAGGTTCTATTGGAGCAGCACCTTCTGCATGAGCTTCAACAACGGTCTCACCATCTTCCAAGGCATGTTGATCCATCTATGGAACAGCTTATCCAGAAGTTTGGTCACTCACCGCAAGGACATCAAACAGATTTGTTTGAGCTACTGTCTCGTGCGCAGCATGGGCAAATTCAATCGTTGGAACATCAGATGCAAGCCAGGCAGCAGTTACCAATAGGAATGAGGCAGAGGATGGAAGAAGAGAGGCATGTCAATTCTGTCTGGCCAGCAGATGAATCAAATCAGTTTTTGAGGGGCCATGCTGGTACTCAGCAGCGAGCTCACTCTTCTGGATTTAGTCCTTTGGATTTTTACCAGAGGCAACAGAGGCCATCCCATGAGGAGCAGCTGAGTCACCTTGACCGGAATCATTCATTGCAGGATCGACTTCAGCAAGGGTTTTATGAGCCTGGCTCACTGCCGTTTGAGCGGTCAATGTCATTGCCTGCTGGTGCACCAGGGATGAACTTGGATGTTGTAAATGCTATGGCTCGTGCTCAGGGTTTGGATATGCAGGATTCCGCTGGACGTATGCAATCGGCTGGTCAATTGGGAACATTTTCGTCTGGCATCCATTCTCATAATCCTCATCACCCTCTTCCTAACCAATTTCATGTCTCACATTTGGATGCACTTGAGGGACACTGGTCTGAGAAGAATGAACAGCTAGAAAATGACTGGCTGGACTCTCGGTTTCAACAGCTGCATATTAATGCTGAGCGGCAGAAAAGGGAGTCAGAAATCAAAATTCCTTCTCAGGATCGAACTTTATGGATGTCAGATGGATCTAATGAAGAGCATTCAAAGAGACTATTGATGGAGTTACTCCATAAAAAATCGGGCCATCAACCTACTGAGTCATCGAATGTCAGCAATGATATGTTCTCTGATAAAAGGCTGTCATCTGGCCTCTACTCTGGATCAAGCTCTTCAAATCACCCATTCATTCTTCACGCAGACCAAGAAGCAGGTCTAAATAATTCATTTCGAGTAGGATCCTATGGTTCTAATCCATGTGAACTTCCACAGGAAGAGCGAGCCTGCAGTGTGGAAAGCAATGAAAAATTGATGTATAGACCTGATTCTGGAGCATTGATTGAGAGAGAGTCATTCTTGGCAGGCATCAATGCTACGACTCAGTCAATTTACACAAATTCTAACATGATTAGTAAGTCTTCTATCAATAAAGAACGTTCGGAGTTGGAGGGGAGGAAGCGTGGATCCAAGAGTGAGGCGATCATTATGGGTCGAGCTTTTGAGACTCAAGAACGAATGGCTGAACAAGCAGGGTTGGCTGCCCAAGATTATGGGGAGAGGGCAACAAATGCCCTTGGCATGCATAATTTATCTGGTGTTTCAGGTACTACTCTTTATTGCTTCTTTTTAGTCTGGACTCCCTTACATTGTGTTCAAAATTGTTCATGTGAGAGTCGTGGTTTTATAAATTTGCTTCTTCCCAGGTGGGAATGCAGGCTTTTACGGCGACAAGATTGGCCGAAGTAATTCATTTGCAGAAGAAACTACCAAGGATCGGTACATATGCGACCTTACTCTTATTGGTCCCTTGTCTTTATCACCCAAATTCTTATACGAATTCCTCCTATCATGTGTAGAAGTAATTATTTTTTCTTCCTTACATTGCCACAGGGTGCCGGTCCCATCCAAAGGTCAAGACAATATTCTGCTGAGACGACCTGCTGTATCAAATGCTTCAGCATCCCAAGAAGGATTGTCAGAACTGATTTCCAATCCAGTTTTCAGAGGGAAAAATTCAAGTGGTGCTCCAGATGGTATCGTACTTCTAACTCTCTACTAATTTCTTATCCGTGTACGGTAGATTTGATGTCCATTTGCTTATTTAAAAGGTTATGGGCTTTATAGCTACGTCTACCATCTCTTTAACTCTCGTGCCACCCCAAACAGGCAGTGCTATCATCTGCATTCTATTTCTTATTACTTTATTGTACCACTTTGAAATAATGTTGGGAACTTGAAATTTACAATCAAATTGTCAAATACTACTTTCAGACAAATAAGTACGTATTTTTTAAATCTTCAGGGGGGAGGCCAGACCAAGTCGTTAATCCTGTAAACCAAGGTTCTGACGTCATTTCATCTTCAAAGAAAGAAGTGCATTTTCGCCGTGCTTTATCCGTCAGTGACGCTGATGTGTCAGAGGCGTCATTTATGGATATGCTTAAGAGTAATACCAAGAAGGTTGGTCCGATGGATGCCCATACGGCAGCAGGATTTTCAGAAGCATCCGATGCAATGCAAGGGAGCCGAAGTGGCAAAAAGAAGGGAAAGAAAGGGAGGCAAATTGACCCCGCACTCCTTGGTTTTAAAGTTACCAGCAACCGGATAATGATGGGTGAAATTCAACGCATAGACGATTAGAGCACCATTGATTCTGTAATTTCTGTGTAAATCTCCATTTCTTGATAGTTAGTCCAGTTAGTCGTATAGGTTTAGAACACTCGGTGTAAAGCATCTGCGGGTGAAAATTCTTTTATTTTTTCTCCCCATCCATATCCTAGCGGTTAATGGTTGACACATACTGTCACTGGTGATAAAGATTGCTTAGCGTGCGATCTGAGTGTGCAGCAACGGCTAGTAGGATCTAAGTTTTGTATAAGACTAAGAGGGTTTACTTAGGGCAGTGATCCGGCAATGTCTGTATATTGTTTAGATTTATTTTAAAGCTTTAACATTATTAGCTGAGCCCTCTGTTTGGGTCTTTTTTAAATGTTGAAAAATTAGGTTTGCATATGCCTTATTCGTCACAATTATACTTCTACAACTACTAATATTTGTGCAGAAAAGACCAGATTCGTAGAGCACAGCAACGCTACATGTTTTGTACCGAGGGCAAAATTGGTATAACAAAGGTGATACAGAAAAAAGCAAAAGAAAAGAAACTGGGGGCACGGCTTCATATTTTGCTGCAATTTGAACTTGAGAAAGTGAATAGGCTCCAGAAAGGGTCAGACTAGTCTCAGATTCCCAAGCGGTAGAAAGTTTGGGAGACTTTGGAAAAACACAAAGGGAGGAGAAATTTTGTAAAATAAGCATAAATAGACAAAATTACTCTTTTTTTTTTTTTTTGGATTTCTTAAGGAATCTTTACATTTGCATGTCTTTGATTTAAAAGTTGAGAGGTTTTTCTGTCTTTTTTTAAAAAACTTTGGCTTTTTCCAAAAGTGAATTTTTTTTTTTTTGGGGCTAAAACCTAAATTTACTAAAGTTTTAACATTAATCAGAACTTGAATGGAAGAACAAGACCTTTTATCTTATCTTTTGTACAACCAAATGTTGCAAAAAGTTGTTACTGGCATTTACATTTTGCTTATGGAAGCCATTGATTTTGAAAGAGCTGCATGACCGTCCTTCCCATGATCCACTCCAGGTCTGTAGATGATAGAGGTATTTGATTGACGATAAGAGAAACAGCTTCTTTCGCTCCTTTATAACCACATTCGGGAACAACAAATGGAAAATCACTGCAGTGAAGACTATTACTGTTAGCTTCTTCTCCCTACCTGGTCAAGAAGGAAGCATTTTTGTTTTGATTGAAAGAACAAGAGAAACACAGAGCTCTACCTGCCCCACATGACACGGTTAGCACCAAAGCTTGAGACAACTTGAGACAGTGAGTGAGATAAATCCTGATATGGAAATGGCATTCTTGACAACCTGAAAAGTGCACTGAATTTCACATAGACCTGGCCATAAAAAAATCACATTACACGTCAAGAGTCGGACTCTTAATGTGCGTGAAGTATAAATTGGGAAACAAACATACAAATCATAAGGCATTAGACAGACATGATTGTGCTTTATATGCCCTATCCAATAACCTAATTGTTCTTGACAATCCTTTATCATTGCCTAATAAAAATTTAAGTTGGTTGATTTTCAGCAAGTTCAACAACCCATATCATTCTCAATGCCCTCGGCGCAGAACAAATAAAGATATAAGGCTCTCAAGTAATGGTCTAGGTCAATCTAAATATGACGGCCTTGTCTTACTCGAGATGGCAGCAATAGTAGAAAAGCAACCAGGCAGTTATGAGAAGGTATTCTGGAAACCTTTACCTGTGGGAATCTGGATAGCTTTAAAAGTGCAGAGAAAGCCAGCTTTTCCTCATCGTTTCTGCAAGATAAGATATTTAAAGTAAGAAAAGTTACAAATGGTCTAGCCAAATATTGATTCTTGAAAGCTCTTTCTAGCAAAGTAAACTACGAGAAAACTCACATTGGTGGTTTGCAGAAAGCCAAATGATCAAGCAATACAGTTGTTGATGGAAACTGTGTGCACAGCTCCTCAATTTCTGAAATATGCAGACTGAGGCCCTGAATTTAACCATTTAATAGTAAATAAGCATTTCTACGATAAGCTCCATCTGGTAACATCCCACACACAGAGACTAGCCTATTTGGTGAGTAGGCCATCAAGTAGTACGATGTAAAGTAATAAAATGTTTTAAATGAATATGCCATCCACATCAATTGCTTGTAATATAGAACCACAAGTTGCAAATCCATTTTACAAAAGTCATAAGAAAAGAAAAACAATACCTTCATACACATAAAACCAACTGGTACTCCAAGTTCTCCTGCCTTAGCGAACATTGCCCTCCCAACTTCATTGGTCATCTGCAGAAACCCTCAAATGTGATAAGAATAACATCGATGTGGATGTATAGAAGTTATCTGGCTCTAGAAGGAACTTGCTCCACCTTTAATGGTGTTCGCAGGCATATATACAAGAGCATCTATCTGTTTTCTTTCTTTTTATTTTTTTATTTTATAAATATTTATGAGGAAACCAGAGCATCTATCTTAAAACATGTGCAAAAGTATGAAAATATTTAAATTACCTGTTGACCAGAAGGCCACAGATATGGATTGAAGCGAACAGCATGATAATTATCCTAGCATAAAAGAAATTTTTGTCAAAGTGATTTCCTTTAAGGCACCAGAGATAAACCCTGATTAACATAATCTGGAATTTCCCAAAGACCTGCAGAATGAGATGTTCAAGTTGCTTAACCCCACTTCCATCTTCGGTTGGATTTGCTAGGCAACAACCAACAAATTGAGATGGATACTTCTTCAACACACTGTCCAAAGATAAGCAAGTATAAGGCAATACCATATATAATACGTGGTGAAGAAATCAAGAGGAAATTACTACCATATACTGATATGCATCAAGTAGTCCTATATCATGTTTCGTACCAACTCATGCACTCGCAAACACGATCATAAGGCCACTACTTAGGTGGAGCACCTGATGAACTTCTGAATATTAAACTTTATTGATTAGTTTAGCAATTCAAGTCTACATGGAATGAAAAGTTCATTAGGTGGGATACCGTGAGCCATGTCATGTTATTGCAGGAATTTAGAAGTTCAGCAGTTCAGTTACTGGGTTGGGTTCTAAAGTCATTGTCAAAACGTAAAGATCAACTACCATATACGCATTTAACCATGTCAGCTACAGTTTCATGTGGCTCTGTAGCTAACATGACTGCTAATATTTTGTCTAAACTATACTATATTAAGAAAAAATGAAGAAAAATGACTTCAACTTTGATAGGACATGATCATATTTAACCAGACCTTGTCACCAAAGAATGATCGAATTTGTGATTAATGGGCTGCACAATAAGCGCACCGTCAACACCTGCTTCTTCCATAGACTGGGAGAAGAAGAAAAAACATGAATATATGTTGGCAATAGACATTGTCAGTTATCAGCTTTCCATATAGAAAATAAATAAATAAGGGGGGCAACAAAATGGAAGAAATATGAGAGTGATGTGTTCTCCTCATACTGAAAATCACTAGAACTGAGACTGTGAGACAATCTAGAAAGACAAAGTATGTATGAGATCACAGTTACAATGCTGGCAATCCTGAAAAATCCATATAATTTCTATTGGGATTAAGCAACAAACACACACACAGTGACAGCTTCATAAAAGTCATACCTTGAGCAAGAAATCGACATCTCCAGGCAAAGTAGGTTCTTGGCCAGGAAAGTAAGGGTATTTATCCGCAGCCTTGACAACCCAAAATTTCAATAACACTTCAGATTCAGAAAAGAAAAAAACAAGTATGAACTTGCAAAACAGTTAAACTCAGCTGGGTTACCTCCTGGGGAGATGCCCACACATGCAGATGTGAATCTATGATCTTGGTTCTACTCTGGGGTTCATTGGTAGCCATTCTTGCAGCAGAGGCTATGAACCGGGTCTTTGTTGAAATGTGGGCAAACAGTGGTGGACATTTAAGTTGCACTACAGGGACTTGAGCTGACGCTGAAAGCAGAAGAGGCGTTAGCCTCACTGCCATAGCCATTGGATTATGGCTAAAAGACCCTTTCATTTAAGTCACATATATGAAAGCCCAACTCGGCCCGTTTAGGATGCAATCGGCATTTTGGATAACTTGGACATTATATTGGTAATTTCAGAGTCATTGCATTGGTGAGTCAGTGGCCTTCTCGCTACTCTCGAATTCATCGCTTCTTTGCAACAACAAAGAAGGGATATACTGATACCGTAAATTACACCACCACCCACATTGAGCCTTATCAGCAGACCACATAGCTTAGCAGCAGCAGAGGTAGCTCTACTATACCTTCAATGGCGGCTCCATTGACTACCCTGGTAAAAACCCATGTTCTCTCTCACTTTGTTTGGTTCCCGAGAAACCCAAAATTAAAAATAAATGTTAATGATGGTACAATAAAAGAAGTTTTCTTTCTGTTTTTGCTTTCGTAGTCAAATGTTGGTTCGCTTCCGGGTTCTCGCAGCGTATCTCAGATCAGAGCTTTGATCCCTACCTGTACTTCAGTCACGCTTCCAACAATTCCATTGTCTTCTAACAAAAAGGCAACGTTATCCTCCAGCTTCCTCTTCAGGTCGTCGCGTTTGTCCCCTCTGACATTCTTTTCGAACCCTAATTCTCAGAAAAGGGCCAGTCTTGTTAGCTCAGTCCGAGCCAGTGCTGAGGTTTGAATGAAAATTATTTTTTGTTTTTTTTTAACCAAAGTTGCTGCATTTGGTGAGCTTATAATTATAATTTTAAGTTTCTTTTTTCAATTGTAGGAAGCAACTTTGCAATCAAAAGTGACCCATAAGGTGTATTTTGACATTAGCATTGGGAATCCAGTTGGGAAGCTTGCTGGAAGGATTGTGATTGGATTGTTTGGTGATGATGTGCCCCAAACCGCAGAGAATTTCCGTGCCCTGTGCACAGGTTTTAAGATTTATTTGGTTTTGTTTATGGCTTATGGTCTGATTAAAGTGGCCTCTTGAATGTATTTTGATTTCATATGAGCTGTGTGTCTTTCGTAGGTGATAAGGGCTTTGGGTTCAAGGGTTCAGCATTCCATCGTGTAATCAAGGATTTCATGATTCAAGGAGGGGATTTTGACAAAGGCAATGTGGGTGCTCTTCCTAATCTTGTAGCCTCATTGTTTCTGGTTTATTTTATGAATTGCAACATTGGTTGACTATAGGTTTAACGATGATACATGGTCTAGGTTTCTAGTATAAGATTGATTTTACATTGGTTTTGGTAAGATTACTTTAAAAGCCAATTTATCAAATACAAGGAAGGGTACTAATGGTTCACTTATGCTAAACACTGATTGCAAGGTTAAACAGAAGAAAACAGAAAAACAATTCGGCATTTGTTAAGATTGTTATGATAGCTTGAATAGGTCTCTTTTCTAGCCCAAAACTTTACATCTAAACTTATGAGTCTGTAAGTTTGCAGTGGGCATTGCCATTCACTCATAAAAACAGCTGTGGAGTTACCTCGCACATATGGCTGGTTGACCGTTTTATTTTTCCTGTTTTATGTATCTTTTCTCTGTTCTGTTTCCCAAGCCAGCTGTGCGTTTTGAACTTTGAGAAAATTAGCTTTTCTGTATTATTTATAACAACTTCTTCCAGTATATATTTACTCTTGTTCCCAAAGGTACATATGTTTACTAAAGGTCTTGTAATCAATGTTGCCTGCTAGTAAATGAGATCTTGAATTCCTGAGTATTGGAAGGAGTTGATTTTTTAGAGATTTCGTGCTTAATAAACTATTGAGGGTACCCTTTTTGGCCTTTCATTCATATCTCACAGCCTCACTTTTCCAAGATTTTCCCCACAATTTTGTTCCGTTTATTACTTTGAAATATGTAACATTTCTTCATGCTTTTTTGAAAATTTCATAGTTTGTTTTTGTTAAGAGGTTTTTCCATTTGTTGGACATAACAATGACATTACAATGCTGGAATAATGTTGCAGGGAACTGGAGGTAAAAGCATTTATGGTCGTACTTTTAAGGATGAGAACTTTAAGTGTAAGTTATTCCTCACTTCTCATGCCTCATAGTAGGTTGTGACTGACGTGCTAGATACATTCCTTCCTAGGATAATATTTCCAGAAAACATAGATAATACAATGATTATTTGATTGGAATTATTCAATAGTCATTGATGTATTCCTGGATCTTTTGCATTCAGTTACACTCCAACAGTATGAACTGTCTTTTTATTGACAACAGATTTTCTTTCTGATGTAATATGAGATATTGAATATGATTGTGTCTAACTTTCATTGCAAACGTAACAATGTAAATCATGATTTTGCAGTGTCTCATACTGGACCAGGAGTTGTTAGCATGGCCAATGCAGGCCCCAATACCAATGGGAGCCAGTTCTTCATATGCACTGTCAAGGTAAGAGTCATTCATTCTCTATATGATAAATCAATTTGTAGGAAAATTATGGCATTATTCTTTGAAGCTTCATATAATTGTGGCACAAAGCAAAAATTCATAAACTTCAATTTTCCTAACGTGGAAGATTGACAAGATTTCTTAGTTTCTTCTCAGAAGGTAGTTGAAGCTTAGAGGAGGTAGCATTATAGCTTTGTAACTTGATACATGCTTAAGTATAATTATTTGGTTGCAGACCCCATGGCTCGACAACAGGCATGTTGTGTTTGGGCAAGTTCTGGAAGGCCTGGACGTGGTTAGGCTGATTGAGTCTCAAGAGACAGACAGAGGCGACCGTCCTACAAAGAAGGTGGTCATTGCCGACTGCGGAGAGCTGCCGGTGGCCTGATGAGTTTTCTTATCAGTTTGAGTTATCAGCGATTCTTATCAGTTTGCTTCCTTTTGGAAATGTAGGCTTTTGTATTATCTACCCAGTCAAGAGGCTTTTGTTTGGTGGGATTAGGTCCTGCACAATCTTCTTTCTTTTCCACATATCTGTATTCCAGATAGTTGAGTTTGAGAACTGAGAATTATAGCCAATTAGAGGAAAGAACATTTTCTGAATCTACGAGTGAAATGAAAATGTGATGATAGGTGGACTGATTAATATTGTTAATTGATGTGATCCAATCCATGGAAAGCATCAATTAGTACCGTAAGCTCAAAATTGCTGCATCCCATGGCTCTTGGGCTACCCATTTGTTGTAATTTTGGGCTGGGGTTAGATGTTGATTCAGATACATAGGGGCCTTTTTCATGTTAAGTCCTTATTGGTTTTCTTTGTTGGGTCAATTTATTGCAACTCCAAGTCCATATTGATTTAGTTCCCCAAACCAATGTCATGTACTGTTTTCGTACACACAAGGAAAGGAAAGGAAAGGAATGCAAGAGGCTCCTTTGTACTAAAAATGATTAAGCTCTTTTACTTCTTGCCATGCCATGCATAATTGAAGATTCAGAAATCCACTCTTCATCTCATTATTTTCGATTTGATACAATGCGATGCGATCGTCAAGATCATATATCAATCGATAACAAATGGGTTTTCCTTTTTCTTCTCTTAATGACTTTTGCCAAAGGAGAGTGATAATAAGTCAAAACTTGATACGTATTCTCTTTATCTAAAGAATACCTACGGAACAAATCAAAATTTCAAAGGTATTTTTGTAGAAAATCCCCTAAACTTATACATCAATTTCAATTTGTCACCTTAAAGAAAAATTTAAAAGAAATGTCACCTAAATTTTTCAAAATCCTTAATTTGTCATCTGACTTTAATACCATCCAATTTTCCATCCATTTTTAAGGGTATTTTAGTCTGCACTCTTTTCAAGGATATTTTTAAAACGGAAAAATCATTATAAAAAATTTGTATATCGTTTAAACAATTAAAATTGAAAAAAAATATTTAAAAAATCTCACATTCCCCTAACCCTTGTGCTGCGCCACTAGCGGTTCCAACCAACCCCGACCACCTTGAAATCCATTCCCCCTTCCTTCCTCTATTCCTCCTTCCATGTTCCCCTTCCTCCTCCTCTCTCTCTCTCTCTCTCTCTCTCTACTGTTGCGTCTACCCAAGTGCAATTAGTCACACGTAGTAATAATCTTGGAAGTCCAAGTATCGTATTCTCAAGGAGCAAGTAGGCAAATGTCCGAACACAAAGAAATAATTAAACATACCAAATAAAAGTGACAAGCAAAATTGAAAAGTAATTTGATTTGAGTGTTGTGGAGATTGAGTTTTAAAACGAAATATCAATAATGGAAATGCTAAAGCATCAAGGTTCAATTCTTTAAGCAAAATATGTTTCATGTTCTTTAATCCAAATTATAACTCGATTAAAATTATTATTGAGAAACTTTAACCGGAAGATAAAGAAATTAAAACCAATTTAATTTTTCAATGTTATCTTTTATTAATGATTGTTCAGAAAATAATATTGCTTAATATCTAATCTTTTAATTTAAAAGCATGCTAAGTCAGTTCTTAACAATGAGAAAAATATAATTGAACTCATGAAAAGATAGTAGCTCTTAACATCAATCAAAATAAAAGGATATAAAAATATTGAACAATCAAAAATTAAATTTTTTAGCAATTCATACCGTATATTGGATTAAAAAATAATTCACAAACTTACTCAAAGGACATTCCCTTTAGGCTTAGCTAGAGTTCTAGCAACTCATTACAAAGAAAAATGTAACTAAATTTGAATGAAATGGATAAAGAAATTTTTCATAGTGGTCTCCTTGCCAAATAAGTTGATGGGTGATTTATAGTAGTCAATGAGGTGAGTGGAAAGCTAATACATTCATGATGGGTAATGAAGGGTTTAAGTGAGAGATTAATTGGATTACACATGTGTTGATGGTGGAGAGTTAGTGGAAAAGAAAAAAGAGTAAGGTAGTGGGCGTTAAATAGATGGCTATGAATGACACGAAATAGGCTCTTTAGCTTCAACGGTTTTGTCTTCTCTTCTCCCTCTTTACTTCTCTCTATAATTACAATAATCTCACAATCAATTATTGAATAAAAATCTGCTAGCAATTCTCTTCACATTTGGCTTGAATTTGGACAAATATATATATCTTCATCTTTCAGCTTTCCACAAAAGATAAATTCACAAAATAAGTTCACCAAATTAAATACAGAAAATTCATAAATCCAATTGGTGAGAATGAAATGTAATAGTAAGTGAAATTATCTTTTTAAAGCCAAATTTATATCATAAAGTCTCCAAAATAATATTAAAAATATGTAATTTGAGACCCTCATCATCTACCATGGAACACCTACCCTCCATACACAAATTCCCTCAGCCCACCCAAACTAAGTCCACCTTTTTCTTTTTCTTTTTGGTATTTTTCCATTTGCATATTGAAAAATTGGGGAAGGACAACTACTAAACCAACAATTCGATAGCTTACGTAACAGATGGTGACCAAGCAAACTTTGGATCCTTCAACAGAAACACTGTTGGTATGAGTTAATAAAACTATGAAGACAAGAAATGGGTTAGATTTTGGGTGGGAAGCTTAAGTAGTTTTAAATCACATATATGAAAATTTAAGACATGCTCAATGAGAAAATAGGACAGGGGGTGGAAATAGCAACACTAAAAAAAAATTATAGTAAATTTGACTTACACCCTTCAAATTCGATTTGCCGTATCTAAAACCCTTCACTTTTTGTTCCTATAAATAATACCCAATTTGTATAAATAAAAACCCATGACTAGGATCCAACTCAGCAAGTTACCTAATTAAGCATAAAATTTGATTTATTGTACTTTTCAGATTCCAAAAATACCCCCAACTAAGCCATTATTGCATTTTGTATATTAATGTAGGAATCAATATGGAAACAGTTTTTAATTGGATTGTATATAATGACAGATGTTGAATTTGGAAA